CCATAAAGGATTTATTTCCATGTATTTATTTTTAATTTCCTCTTGTACATATCCAAGATTTGTTAAAAAATAATTGAGCTTATTTAGATTTACTAAATTTTCATTATTAAACATAATTTTGATATATCATTAAGTAAGATAATTTTTTCCCCCCTAAAAACCCAGTTGTTTGTTCGATCAGAGAAAGTGAAAAAACTTGGATTTATCGAAATACTGTCTTCGATTTTCGTAAATGTGACAAAAAAGAAATATACATATATATAGTCGATTCCAGAGATAATGGTCCCACAGTGTCGGTTGGCGGAATTGCCTGCAGCAGCGTGCGCGCGGTGACATAAAGCGGGAATTCCCCGGATCTCCGATGTGTGTGTGTGCGCCGCGTGAGAGGATTCTCCCCCTAAAAATTCTGTCACTCTTTGGCGAACACAATTTAACACTTTGTCGCTGCTTTCTGGTTTTTTTTTTTGTTTCCGTGGGGTATAACTAGGATAACCGGAGGAGCAGAAGGACCTCTGGTGCAGTAACCATCACAAAGCGAAATTCGTATTCTCCACAAGCAACCGAAGGAACCCCAAACAAATATGGCGTCATTCAACGCATTTCCGTTTACATTACACGCTCATTTCCGCTCCGTGTGGCTTTATTAAGCGTCTCTAGTTTTTTGTGTGTTGCATTTCCCATCGCTTTTCCTTCGATTTTTCCTGCAACACGTGTGCCAGTGTGTGTGTGTGTGTGTGCCACTTGAAGTGCGCTCAAGCAAGGCAAAGCTGTTGAGGGAAATTTTCTTTGAATTTGCTCCGGTTAGCGAAGGAATCGACTTGGAATCGGATTTCGATTCGGGGAAACACATTGAGGTTGAGTCGAACAAAAACAAAAAATAGTTGGATATTTTCATGTTCAAGCCAATCGATCGTCATTATTATGTCTTACTTCCTTTCTTGACACAAAAATTAAGACGAATTCCCTTTTCTTTTGGGTAATATTAAGGTGCACTTTGTGCTGTATTTGGGTTCTATATATACTTTATGTTATACTTTATATACATATATACACTAGGTACATATATAAGTTGGCAATTTAAATTGGGCAAATCATTTGATGCAGCTTAACACAAGTGTGGGTGTGCGTACGTGAATGAATATGGATGTGGATGTGGGTGTGGGTGTGGGTGTGTATGGGTGCTGGGTTTTGAGTGTGGTGAGTGTTATCCTTAAGAGACTACGATTGGCTGACTTTGTTGAAGGAAAATGGAAACTTTAATGCGATTTAAGATGACCAAAAAGAGGGAGCAGTGAGGATTTAGAGGCAACCGCGAGAGAGACCTTCACGGGGAAATGCAATCCAAAAGATAGCCACGCTTCATGACCAAATCCCATTTGATCTTATTTGTATCTATACAGAAAAGCCAAAGTAGCTGAAGCGATATATGGGTTTAAAAGTTTGAAAATAATATAAAATCAGCCACATATATGTACTTAAATATATTGCAAAACAAAGGCAAGATTAAAAGTATTAATTGTTGACTTTAATATTTGTTTGTTTTTGGTACTTATTCAAAAGCCAAAGATTTCCTTTTAACATTATTTAGTAATTTTTCCATTGATTTACTTAATATAAATAATATATACAGACGTTATTGTATGCATTTTCAACTGGTTAGTTTATTTATTGGTTTTATTTGAATTTTTTCTTTGTTTCACTGAAAAATTCTTCACTTAATTAATGCAACAATGTGTGTTCGTGTGGAAAAAGTGTGAGAGAGAAAGAAATCGATTGAAAACTATGGGAATTTCATTATAATTAATTGGATATAGTTATTGATTATCATTGTTTTTTTTGTGCTTCGTTCAAGTATTTATGAATTTCACAAATCAGTCAGGATTCTGATTGAATATTTACTGGGCCTTGGTTTTATTTCCCTCGTATTTATTTACTGCTCTCTTGCCTCTTTGTTAGCTGCCTCTGTTTCTGCTTTTGCTTGCCTCCAACTGCTGCATAAATATTTAGATTCAATTCAAATTGCTTTCCACTTGCGAAATTTCGCTGTCCTTTTGCCATCGTCCTTTTTTGTTTGTTTGTTTGTTTATTTGCTTTGTTATTTCGCCTCGGCTTCCACTTCCACTTGGGCTTTATGCCGGACGATTGGCAACAAAAGCTGCCAATTTGTATTTCAATTAAATTTGTGGGCACTTGGCTGCTGCGGCTCCTGCGTTTTCCTTGGGTCCTTTCTTCATCTTTTCCTTGGTCGCCGCCGTTGCCTCCTTCTCGTTCTTCATCTTCATCCTTATCTCATTCTGGCCCACAAGGTATTTGGCCAAAAGTGTTGGAGTATTTACGATTTCGATTCACTTTACAGTTGAGATAATTTTGGAATTGTATTTTGGTTTTAATATTCTGACCATAAAGTGTCCAACTAAAAGTTAAATCTTATAAGACGCAAAATAATTATTATAACCTTGCAGGGTATTTTAATTTCACTCAAAATCATGCAACGCAGTGAAATCATATATATTCTTGATCACCATGAAAAGCTGAATCGATCTAGCCATGTCCGGTAAAAAATTAATGTTTTATATTTTTTCAAACTTTTACAAGGGGTTACATCGTTAAAATTTACAAAAATGTTGAATTTTTTAACATTTTAAACTGCATGATTTATTAACCTCATAAAAACAAACATAGCAAAGCTTTCCGAATTGAAATTAATGGCTTTCCGACCCTATAAATCATATATATTCTTGATCAGCATCAACAGGCGAATCTTTTAAGCCATCTCCGGTAAAAAATTTTTTTTAATAAATTTCCCATTTTTTTTTTATGAAAATTTGCAAAAATCGGCAAAAAATTCACATTTTAAATGGAGTATGCAGTTTTGTTAACCTGCTAAAAATTAACATACAGCCGCTTTCCGAATTCAAATTAATGCGTTTTTGGCCTAGTTATGAGATTTTTAGACTTTGATTTGTGTACAAATTTGTACATGAAAATATCAATTATTAATTTTATTAATTTATAAATTATTTTGTTACATATTTTATGGTACCAAAAACGGTATCCTGTAGTTGGAAGTCGCAAACCCTTGTTTACAGTTTACGCTCGAAACTTAAATCCATCAAGAAGAGGGAGATGGGGGCACATGGATTTTCCGCTGGATTTTCCTTGGTCCAACAAGAAGGGGGTGAGCTTTGGGGGCGGAATTGTGGAATTGCCGCCGCCAGCCAAGTGTCAAAATGGCGCTTCCAAGTAATTTACTTATGTCTAAACAACTTTTATTGTTGTTGTTCTCGCCGCTTGTTAACGCGAGCGGAAAGCGTGGAAAGCGTGGAAAGCGATGGGCAGGGCGTGGGCTGTGAAAGGAGCGTGGAAAAGCGTTTAATTAACTAACTGCTTCCCATATATAGCCGCGTTTAGTTTTCGGCAAATATTTGCTAGCTTCCAACGGCAACGGCGGCGCCTCAATTAGCGTGGCGAAGTAAATCTATTTTAAATTGATTTTCGTTGCCTGATTAAATTGAGTTTGCCCAAGCTGCTTGGCTCCCAGGTTTTCCCACCTCCTCCCACCACCTTCACCCTCCCCCATTTAGGGCTTGTCCTTGCGGTATATAATTTCATTTTTGAGTCCAAACCCCTCCCCTCCCCTGCCACCAGAGCCGCGCTCTTAGCCAATTACAAAATGCTGCCGGGCTTCATTCCATTCTCAAATGTTTCCATGTGGAACATTTTGCAACTCATTAAAGGCAAAGAACAGTACACTGAGAGACATTTGAAGATAGTTTTCTAGTTTGGTAAATATTTACAAGGATTTATGTATCAATTATGTATATACTTGTGGTTAGGTTTAAGATCACAAGAACAGGTTTCGGTAGAAATAAATCATAGGAAAAGGTTTAAGGTACTTTAAAATAAATGTAGACAATATTTTAATTAAATAATATTATTAATTAATAATAAGTACAACAAAATACAAGAGAATAAGATAATAAACAAGTACAAATTAATTGAATATACCAATAAACTATGAAGATGCAATATTACCTATAAATGATTTTCTATCAAGTTCAATTACCTTTGGAAAATTATATATTCTGATTATTTTTGTTATCATACGCTGTCTTGCTAATTATTTCTGTCAGTGTATAGCGACTGCGTATATTTTTTTGGCTTCTAAAAATGTTCTATGCAGAAATAGAAAATTCGTTTCGTTCTCAGTGTCATGAATCATGATGGTGAGTGAGACGGGAGCAGCAGAAGCTAAGAAGGAGGGGCAGGCAAATCCTGTTGTGCCACTGTGTGTGGCATGCCTCCACCGCCTAGTCCTAGTCCTGGTCCTGGTCCTGGTCCTAGTCCTCCTCCACATTTGGGTCAACTATGTGGCGCGCATTAAAAGGAAAACCATTTGGAAATCGGGAATCATCAACCGATCCATCCTGCATCCTGTATCCTGCATCCCCGTTCGAGTGCCGCTGCCGCCGCTGCTGCAGTGCATCATCAAGTGGCAAGTGCCCGAAAGCGTCCGAAAAATGGGAAAATGAAAATGAAAATGAAAAAGAAAAGAAAAGCCACGGAATCGTATCGAGGACGGGACCCGACCCGACCCGTTAATGGGCGTATTTTTCGGGGAGTCTGAGTACTTTCCATTTGAAACTCATTAGTGAGAGTTCAGCGGGAAATCGGGGGAGGGGGAGTGGCAGGTTACTGTCTTTGCATATGACATGTGTGTGTATGTGAGTGTGTGTGTGTGTGTGTGGGTGTGTGTGTTTGGAAGAGCCATCGCTGAAAATTCTACAAGAACCACTAGAATATTGGTCAAGCCGCCTGCCACCCTCTCTCTGTCTTTCTAAAATAAAAACCAAAACCGACAAATTCATGGCAGAAAATCATTAAAAATTAAGTTAAAATTGCCTGGAATTTGGAAAAATAAACAGAGTTACCTTTTAAGGGGAGTAAAACTCTCACTAAACAAATGTGATTGGCAAAATGTACTTGAAACTTCAAAGATCCAAGTGTGCCCTGGAATATATTTCGATTAACAGGAGCTTATATCTTGGATTTCACTTTGTGCCTGCGAAAAACCCAAGGAAAATCAGCAAAGAAAAACAACGTTTGGTTTTTGCATTTTGGAAACCTGCAAGATCCGCTCTCTCCGTCATAACATTAATATTGGTAGAAAAGAAGAGAAAACCAAAACTGCAAGAGAAAAATTCTTGGCAGTAAATCATTTAAAATCGAATCACAATTGCCTGGTGGTCTAAGATCCAAGTGTGCCCTGGAAAACATTTCGTTGAATAGGAGTTAAAACTTTTGATTTCACTTGTGCACATCAATATATTTTGGTACAGTAAAATGCCCAATAATTCCACAATGCAAAAGCCAAAAGGCCGTGGCATGGACACAGGCGTCGCCAGGCGCTTCACCTTTCGACCCCCCATTCCACTGTCGATGGGGGGCAGTTCGGGAAATGAGGCATGCCTCAATTTGGACGACAAGGCACGGCGCTTCATCTTTCGGCCGCCCATTCCACTGGATTTGGATGGCAGCCGTGGAATGGATGTGGCCGGCAGGGGTGAGGGCCCGGAAAGGGTCTACGAAACAGAGACCGACAGGATAATCGCGGAGATCGAGAGGATATCGGGGGCAAAGGTAACGCCACTACGTCTGACCCCAAAGAAGTCCGATGGAATAGTCTCTACATCCGGGCAGTCCACCTCGTCGCCGAAGGCTGTGGGCAGACCCAAGAAGCGTTCGCAGCCAAAGAGCTCCAAGGATACATCGCCGGCTGTGTCCAAGTCCAAGGAGCCGCGACTTCATCGCAAGAAGTCGAAAGAAAATGGCACCAACTCTAACCAACGTGGAAATGAGGCCTCAACCAATCCCGAATCCGAATCTTCGGTCACACCCACTAAGGGTAAGCTAATCCGGATAGCGACTAGTGAATAAGACTAATACCAATTACCATACAGGAAGCAAAGAGGACCACGTGAAGCCCAAGAAGAAGTAGAGTCTTTCTCAGTGAATGATATCATATACCATTGTCATAGTCATAATCACATTCTATAAGCTAAGCTTATTAAATCGGTAAGACTGCTAGAACTTAGTGTTCCAACTTTTTAAGAGTTACCGAGTTACACATCCAGAGAGAAAGGTCTGCTGTATAGATATGTGTATAGTTAAAGATATATATAGCTATATATAGCTATATATAGATAAAGATTTATATCTATACTTTTGGCCCACATTTAATTTGCAGTTGTAGCACATTAATTACTTTTATTTTAAGTACTATAAAATCTTGAAAAGTAATTAAGAAGTCATTGGGGATTTTAAAAAGAATGGCTTATTTTTTAAATTTAAAACATTTTTAATTTGTAAAGGTTTTGTCTAATGTCTAATTTGTAGTCATTGCTTATAAATTAAATTAATAAATATAAATAATTTAAACACCACATTCAAGCTGGTTCTTGGAAATGTAATATTTTGATATGGAAAAACTTAAACATTAATCTTAAAATTTATAACAAATATATTGAAAACTTGTTAAAACTAAATGAAGGGCCAAATAATTAATTTAAATATTAGAATTTGATAGGTAAACCTTTTTATTTAAATACCTTATTTAATTTCCAATATGAAAGCTCTACCTTTTTATTAGAATCTTTAGTCAAGTTCAAGGACTTGCTCGCTAAATTCAAAGAAGAGCCTTTTATTTTCATACAAAATATACATATTTATATACATTTTCATAACATATATTAAATATATGTGTGTTTATATATCTCTGTTATTCTGAAAGTCACTTCTAGGACTGTTATGCAAATGCTTGTGGTGCCTCGGCCCCTCCCCAGACATTTGTACATTTAATTCAATTCGGTTACATTCCATACATTCTCGTTTGTTTGTCTATTTTAATTTTAATTTTATTTTTTTTCCTCTGCTTCTGCTTTTTGTTCTTGTGTTTTTTATTTTTAATTTAGATTTCATTTCCATTTCTCACTGCTGCCGCCGTCGTCGTCGCCACATCCCAAGGGGGATGTGAATGGTTGCTGCATTAGCACAAAGGCAGCAGCAACAACAACACGACGAAGAACACAGACAACAGTTGCTGCTAAAATAATTCAACCAGGACTCAGACACTCGGCGGTTGAAGGAAGACCGCGGGACACCAAGAGGACAACTTTCATATGCACAGACAACAAGCGGCAAGCGGCAAGCGGCAAGTGGCAAGCGGCAAGCGGCAACATGAACAACAGCGACGACGACGACAGAAATCCACCTACAAATATATACATACATATGTATATACACACAGAGAAAATAAATGTATTCCCAAGACATTTGAGAATTATTGTCTTATACTTAAAAGAAAATATCCTAAGCATATAAAGTAGAGAGGGATTAGGAGGTAGAAGAAAGGAAACCGAAATTACGATACCCTTGCAGAGGAAATTGATCATAACTCAGTCAAAAATTCATTAATTTACAATCGGAAGGCTTTCCAATGCTAGTTTTTATTGGGTTAATAAATCTACATACTCGGTTTAAAATGTTAAAAATTCAAATTTCCTTCCTCTCCTTATTTTTCAAAAATGGGAAATTTCTGAAAAATCGGCCGGAGATGACTAAATTAAGTCATTAAGTATAAAACATCCTTTAAATATTAAGCTCAATAAATAAGGATTTCTATTAATTAGGAATTAGGAATCTCTCACGAATAAGCCCCTTAAATTTTCTCTGTGTGTACATATGGCGATGGGCCGAACGAAAAGTTTATGTGTCAGTTGAAAAGTATCTTGAAGATACTTGCTTGCCGCCTCTGCTGCTTCTTAGTCCCCTGCCCCACCCCCTCGTTGTGGCTTTTGGCGCAGCAACCGCCACAATGTCATTAACCAAATGAATGGCTGACACTGCAGATTCCAATTGGAACTGGAGCCCAGCGGGGAGGCGAGGAGGGAGGGGTCAGAGCGACAGAGAGCGAGCTAGATTGTGACGTCGTTTTCTTGTGATTAAGTTGGTTGCCCACAAAGCCGTCCCCTGGCTCCTGCTCCTGCTCCTGCTCCTGCTCCTGCTCCTGCTCCGGCTCCTGCTCCTGCTCCTGCTCCTGCTCCTGCTCCTGCTCCTGCTCCTGCCCCTGCCCCTGCTCCTGCTCCTGCTCCTGCTCCTCCTTCATCCCCCTCCATCCGTCTGAACCCATCCAGGTCCAAGTCCAAGTCCAAGTCCACTTCTCATTGCTTCGTTTAGCCGTAGATTACCTAGTGACTTGCTCCCCATGACCTTTCTCCTTTTTGGCCAGGCCTAAACAAACCCGAAAACAAAATGAAAGGAGTCTTCGATGGTTAAAACTTATCAGCGCACCAAGTACTCTTTTTTTTTACAGAAGCATTTTCTTACTTCTTGGATTTATCTATTTTTTAGTTTAAAATATACAAGATAAGCATTTATATTTATAAATATAGTATTTATAATAATAGTATTTATTACAAGTTTAACATAAAACTTGTTTATTAAATTCTTAAGGGAGTATATAAATACATTTATTACTATAAGTTTTAAAAGAGTTCTTCAGTTTTCTAAATATTATTATTATCTATACTTTAAAATACCTTTCCCTGCCTTTGTTTTTGATTATTTTAAAACTTAAAATAAATTCGATTTCAATAAAGAAAAGTGAGTCTTTGGGCTTAAGCTTCTTAAAATATGAATTAATTAATGTTAATATATTTTGGAAAATATTCATTGTGCCACCAACTAACCATCATAGTCAATGGATCCTGCAAAAAAATGAAACAAAACGTAAAGATATCCAAGGATGGCAAGGAGGAGGAAATTTTGTTTTTCGACCAAGTGCCTTGGGCGATGGTCAAATGAGGCTCGCAGGAATGTTAGTGATGACAACAACTTAATGGAAATAGCTGCACATTTATAAGTGACAACTTTGTCCCAGTATGCGTGCGAGTGTATCTGTGTGTGTGTGTGTATGGTTGTATCTGTGTATCTGTATCTTTGCTGCTGCTGCTGCTGCTGTGTCCGGTGTGCTCGGTGTGGCCAGGACCCTAAAGAACGTGTTATTTATGGTCAAGGCGTGGCAGACAAATGGCCGGCATATGCATGCTGAGATAGACACACACTCATACAAACACACATACACACACACACTCGCATACACACGTGCCAAGTAATAACTAACGGTAAATTAGTTTGCAAATAGAGTGCAAAAAAGGCAGCAAAATAGCAAAAGGAAAATTGCCCAAAGATGAAACCTAATTTACCCAACACGCACACACTCACTGATAAGGTTTTTTTCGCCCTCCCCCCCCACCTCAAACCCCCTTCATTTTCCTCTCTCTCCCCCTTTTTCGCCTTCCATTTATCGCCACTTTCCTTCGATCCAAGAGTTTTCCGGAACAAGTGTATGTGTTGGCTACATCAAGAGCTCCTCAAGATAGACATCATAAAAGCGAAAGCCAGGCAGGCAGGCTGACTTCACAGATTACAGATTAATTTGTTAGCTTTAAAAAATAAACAAAAAAATAAGGAAACTTTAAAATATAATCAAAGCCTTGAAGTTCTGTACTTAATTTAATTTATTTAAATATTTTTGAGAAAGTTACGTGATGGAAAATATTTAAGTTTATTATCTAAAAGTTTCTCTCCTTTGCCAATCAGTCAATTGAACTTTGTTATCGGTTTTATTGATAAATATTTAATATGTACCAATTAGCTGGTGTTTCGATTTTGTCATAGTTATATTAAACAATAGTTAGTGCTCCGAATTAAAATTAAATTAGACAAAGTTGGATCTTCACATATTTGCAAGGCAATTGTTTATAAAGTTAGACCAATCTTTGGGAATTCATAAAATAGTAATATATATATAATATATAATCAATAACAAATAAGGAGGATAAATTAGTTTCAGCGTTATAAGCTTCTGACTGAAATTATAATAACCTGCAAAGTTACAAATGTTTTGATTTGTATAATTACCTATAAATGTTTTATACTTTCTATATATAATAACAAAAGTAAGCAGAACTTTAGGTACATTTTAAGTAAAGTTGTTCGAAAGTCTCGAAAACATATAAATCCTTGGTTATCAAAACGAAATCCAATACCGACCACCTTGTGTCTTATCTATCTGTCATTCGCATTGCTGATCACTTTGGCTTAGAGACCACTATTTCTTTTTTTTCGGCTTTCGGCCAGTGGCGTCAAATAACCCAATGAAAACATGGCCAGGACTCGTTTTCACTCTGCTCTAGACAGTGACCATCATCCACTGTTTTTTCTCCTGGCTGCACTCGTTTAGACATTGCTTGTTATCCTCTCGAAATGGGCATTATAAGTCGGGTGATTTGGTACGAATAAAAAGTTTGCAACAATTGGGAAAGTATATTGTGAAGAAGTTGCCTAGCTAGCTAAACTGATTTAATTATTATTTTTTATTGCTTACAACTAGAGAAGGAAATTCAATTTAGGTATAGGTTTAATATTGATGGTATTCTGTTATCAGATGATGGTTAAATCATATTCAAAGCTGAAATAATGCTTATTCATATCTTATATGATTTTTCTGACTTCTATTTATAATTTATTAGAAATTTTGTATTAACAAATAACTAAATTTTGATATGCTATTGTATTTAAGGGTATTTCAAGCTTCGTCTATCTGCTAGTCTTGGGTTTTTATCAATTTTGTTTAGGGCTGTGGCTTTGCAGCTTCGCTTTTGGCCATGGTCCTGGTCCAGTTTTTGCCGCTTTTGGGCCGTTCTGTGGCCACGCGTTGGCGGTTTTTTCTTTTTGTTTCCAATTTTTGTTTTTTTTTTCTATTGCCGGCCACACATGTGCTGTGGCTGTGGCTGTGACCCCTCTCTCAGCTGTGATGCCGCCGCCCCTGGTCCGTGGCCAGCTTTATTAGGTTCAAGTTGCAAGGGGAACTTTGGGGGCCTATTCTCCCGCTGTTTTGCGTGTGCCTTTTAATTTATTTATCAGAGGCCGCAGTCGTCGCCGCAGTTTTGTTTTTGTTCCCTCTATTTTCATTTTTTTCCCTGCTATTTTTATTTTTATTTTTTTTTGTGGTCAGGACTTTGGTCGTGGTCAAAGCGTCATTTGGCCAAAAAACGTGGCCGTGGCAATTTGGCGGCTTTGTTATTTATGCAACAGCCTGCGGCAGTTTACATTCACGTGCGTTTCTCCCTTCGGAACATATGCAGCTTCATTCTAAATCCTGATCCCCACACAGTCCTTTTCGTCCTTTTTTCCCTTCCAATGGCCAAATGTCACACAGAAATTTAGGCTGAAAAAAAGACAGAAAGCAGAGTTTATGATCGATGCTGAAATGTGTTGGGGATTTGGGTAGTAAAAAGAAACCAAAACAAAAAAGTTGTAACCAAATTTAGACTTTTATATAAGTATAGTTTAGTTGAGTCATAAATATGGTATTGAAAAAAATAAATAATAGCAAAATAATCAACAAATAACAGAGCATAAACATAACATAACATAAACCGTCATTGGCCCTGAAATGTAGGCAACACTTTTTTCGTATTAAAGTTTCCTAAGAAAATATTAAATTGTTATTCATTAACTATAATAATTAACTAATCAAGAACAACACTTGAAAGAAAGTAAGCTAACTTCGAGAAGCCGAAGATTGTATACCCTTTTAATTGCCTAAGAAACTCCAACTTGAAATCAATCATATCTTAGCCAAAAATGCATTAATTTAAATTCGGAAAGCATTTCTGTTTTAATTTTTGTAAGGGAAATAAATCAAATCAAATATTAAATTTTAATAAAAGTGTATTCCCTTATTAAAATCCCTCCTAGTTAAACTAAATATTTTCATTATTCAGGCTCATGATAAACCCCTTTAATAAAACCATAGAATGAAGCTTAACTAAAGAAAGTTTTTTGAAAAGTTTGACACTTTGGCCATTTAACTTGTTTTGCAAGTTATCAATGCGGAGGCAACAGGGGGGGGGGGAACTAATAGTTAATTCTTTTCCACTTAACCCCACAATGCCTGTTAAATATAATTCCGAACCCCCAACTGCCCCCCGCTTCAGGGGCATTAACGATTCATAGAGCTTAGTGCCTGGACATCCTAATGGATTATCGACTTGAGAGTGTCATTACTCAATGTGTCCTGACAGTTGTTAGGGGTAAGTCCTGGCCCCCAAGGTGGCATATATATATATATATTTATAGGAATAGGTATAGGATGTGTACCTTGCCCAAGATCGTTCGTCATCACCACCACTATGGGAATCATTATCATTATCGAAAGGTGGCGCAAAGT